AACGCTAGTTTGTTTCTCCTTAACGTATCTGTGTTTTAACTTTACATTTTCCTGGATCAGCTTTCTCAGAGGCAGCCGGTGCTTCCCCGCGGGGCTGGGCCGCTGCTTTCAGCGGCTGCGGGGCGGGCTGGCCAGGGTGGAAGGGCAGAGCAGGCCAGTGCAGAGCGCAGGGAGCTGGGCTGAGGCCGGCACGCCCGTAGCCGCCCCTGCAGCCCCTCGCCTGGGGCGTCGGGCGCGGTGCCCTTCACCCCGCCGCGGCTCTGTCGTCGCCTGCGACTCCTGCGCATCTGCAGGTCCCCACGGCCAAGCTGCTGCTTGGCGTCCATGCCTGTCTGCGCGCAGGGCGGTGCCCGGTTCCGCGGGCCTGGCTTGGCGGACAGGTGCCCTCCTCACGGCCGGGCCACTCTTGGCTCCCTGGCGCCGGCTCGTGACCGCGCTGTGCAAGGCCCTGCTGGCTGCACCGGGCCACTCCCACGCGTGCACACATGGACGTCGGCACGAGGGATGAGCCTGACCACCGCTGGAGGCCAGCCCCGAGGCCCTGGGCGGCCGACCCCTCGGGGCTGTGGCTCCTCACGGACCCTCTGTGGCCTGACAGAGGGATGGGGTGCCTCCGGCACACGCGTGGAGGCCGCCGCCGAGGTCCAGCCAGGCTTGCTGGGCGTAGGCTCACCGTGACCCCCAGGAGGGTGCGCGGGGAAGGCGGCCTGTTTCAGGGCCGAGAGCCCTTCCAGTCCAGGCCTGGGCGGCTGAGCCCCGGTGGCTCCACCGGCTGTGTGCCCGCAGAGGCCGCCGGGTCTCGCTGGTCGCGGGCCGCGGAGCTGCTGTCTGGCCAGCGGCAGTGGGGTAGGAGGCCAGTCCTGCGGGACCCGGCCCGGCATTCTCCGCGCAGGCCCGGGAGTCTGAGGACTGGCCGGGAAGGGGGTGGCCACGGTGTGGGTCAGAGGTCTGGACTGTCCTGCTGTACAGGGCAGGGAGAGGACACCCTAGCACCCCAGAGCTGTCTCTTCTAAATAAATCTTGTCACTTGTTGTATTAAGGCAAACGTGTAAGACCTTTGATGGAAACCGACTTTAATTCACGTGTAACTCAGAAAGGAGAAAAAACGGGAAAGAATAACATATTGAAATGAAGCACCCGGAGTTATCTGTTTCCTCGCGGGTAAATGTCCAGTCGAACAGGGTTGGCCCAGAGCAGGGCCGCTGAGGCCCGGAACCTTCCCCGTCTCGGGCACCTCCTGGTGGGGACCCACAGGACAGGGGCAGGAGGGGCCAGACAGTCTGGAAGGAAAAGAGCAAAATCAAGATGAAGGTCGAGGCCGCCACGGTCAGCCTCCCCACGTCTCTCGCCCCCGTCTGTCCAGGCGTCTCCGCCCCGTGCCCAGGTCCCTGGCGCCTGTCCAGGCTGAGAAGCCAGCGCAGCCTCTTCAGTGTCTCTGCCCCGTGCGCCTCCTCCAGGCTCCTGCGGGCCCGTCCCGCTTCCTCCCTTCCCCAGGCTCCTCTCCAGCCTCCCCCTGCTCAGCTCCACCCTCCCTTGCTGGAACCGCCGCTTTCCTGGGACCACCCTCTTACAGAGTGGCGGAAAGTGATCCACTCTGCTTCTTGAGTGGGACGTGGAATGGGACGCACCCGGGGCTTAGGCCTTTGTCACCCTGTGAGCTCTGCAGACGAGCCCCAGCCCGGCCAGGGGTGCGGTGCTGCTTCCCATAAGCACCTGCGCTTGGGAGCCCGCGGGAGCCCGCTGGGCCAGGGCATGCTTGGCAGGGGACTTCTGCACTCGGGCCTGGCAGCCTGTGGGTCGTCCTGCTGTCCTTTCTCGGCTGCTTATTGTGGCCAGCAGGCGACTGGACGCCAGACTCTCGGGCTCTCGCTTGGAGGCAAACGTGGGTCCGCATCTTCCCTGTTGTTCCTGGGGCCTGCGGGCCACGGCCCCACTGACCTGTGACTGCAGTGAGGAGGGGCTGTCTGAGGCCTGCAGGGTGGTGTGGCTGGATCATGCCCACTGGCCGGGCGCTGTGTGTCTTGATTGGAGTCGGATTCTGTTATGCCAAAAAAAAAAAAAAAAAAAAAATCCGTATCAAGAGCGGGGAAGTCATCGAGAGTGATTACAGCGGCGGAGAGCTGATGCGCCGCTCTTCAGATGAAAGGGCATTTTGATCCTTTGCTTCATCGAAGTTCCGGCAGGCTGCGGCGCCTGCGGGTGCCCAGTCTCAGGAGCGACTGTGTCACCTCCGCCGCAGAGAGGGCATGGGCAGCCGTGCAGACAACGAGAGCGCTCCAGCGTGGTCCTGGGGGTGGCTCCGGGCGCTCTGCACGGGCCACTCTGCTGGGGCCTGGGGGCTTCACTTCTTTTCTTGGCCTCACTCATGGCTTTTGTTGCTATTAACACCCTGATGAGGGCTGGACAGGAGCCAGTGTCCTTGCGGGCGCTGGGAGGACTTGGAGGAGGGCGAGCCGCAGCCCTCTGCTTCCCAGAGCCGGGCGTCTGGTGGAGGCTCCCGTGTCCTGGCCCTGCAGCCCCGCCCGGGCAGAGCTCTGAGAGCACGTTCCAGCAGGCAGGCGAGCAGGGGCGGCGGCGTGGGCAGCCGGAGGAACCTGGCCTCCTGGAGAGAAGTTACAGGTGGTGTTTGGTGGACAGCGGGGGGAGAAACGGCCACATGTGTCCACACGTCAGCCTCTGGACGTGCTCTCATCCCAGTTGGCGGTGCCCTGGAGGGTGGCACAGGTGAGGGCACAGGCCCTTGTGAGGGGCCAGGACTTGAACCCAGCTCTGTGGACAGCAGGGCCCACAAACCTCTGCTCCTGCCCAGCAGGTCTCAGTGCAGAGCTGGAGTGTGTCAGCCTCAGTCAGGTTTCCCCGAGGGCTGAAATTTTCCTCCGAAGAGCCCTGTGATCCTGGGAGCCTGCAGTGTCCCGTGGGACAGACAGGCCCTTGCGGCTCGAGCCTCACACACCGGCCAGCAGGCCACATGACTTGCGTCTGGCCTGAGCCTGGTCGGCAGAAGCCAGTCCAGCATCTCCAGGCACCACAGTGACCGGCGATGCCCCCTTGGACACAAGCCCGCAAGCTGACAGGCAGAGGAGCCCAGGGCCGGCCAGCATCTGTCGCTCGTGGGGCTGCCTGACCGTTGTAGGGCCTGGGTCTGGGGGGGTGCCCCTAAGGGTGCAGCAGCCCCTGTGGTCGCGCCCGTGTGGAGCAGGTCGGGTCAAGAGCTGGGAAATCTGCTGCGCTCTCGTTTTGGTTTCTCAGCCACATGGCGGGAGATAAAATGTAAGACTGGCGTGGCCTGGTTAGGGGTCTGGTCTGCACGAGGGACTCTTTGGACCACAGTTGCCCTCCGGCTGAGGCCCCTGCTTCCCTACCTGTCCCAGGACCCCGTCCAGGGTCTTCGCTGGCTCCTGCCTCGAGGAGGGGGCTCCTCGAAGCCCTGGCTTCATGGCCCAGAGCAGGCTCACGCAGTTTGGGGACAAACTCGAGCTTCGTGGTTTCTGTGCCACTCAGGGATCTGAGCACCACGCGGCTAAGGGCTCACCTTGCTCGTCTGACAGAAACCAGGGAAACCTGGGCTCTCTGGCAGTTACTCCCAGGCTGCGGGTGGTGGGGCGGTGGGAGCAGGTCCCCTGAGTGCCCCGTGACTGAGTCTGCAGGGCCGGCAGCTGGGGGCGGGGCGGCCAGGTGAGCCAGCAGGCACTTCCCTTTCTCTTGGAGCGTGGGGGTGACATGGGGCTGGCCACAGGCTGCCGTCCTCGCCCGTCCTTGCCCTGGCCGTCAGCCGTGGTACTCCCTCCAGGCTTTGAAGGAAGGCCCGGGAAGGCCTCCCTCCGCGCTGGCTGCGGTGACGTGGTTCCTTGAACAAAGTGAGATGGAACCAAACAGAAACTAACCCCAAGCCGTAATGGGAGGTTTTTGCATCTTTACAGACAACAGCCTGAGGCTGTGACAGATACACTGGGAGTGAGCTCGGCTGTTGTGTTGACGCTGTTGTGTCTGCTGGAGGAGACGCGCACTATTCTTGGCCCGAGCCCCACGTGGCAGTTAACGACAACCAGCAGCTTACCTGCTCTCACTTTGGAGCCGTCCTTGGGAGCAAATACTCTCGTTCTTTCAGCTGGTTTTGCTCACAGAGTGACCCGGCAGCCCCTGCGTAGCTATTTTCCAGCCCGTGTTATCATCCGCCTCTGTTTGCCCCGGCCCCGGCCCCCACCTCGCTGGAATCATTTCTGTTTTACTTTAAAAAGCAGTTTGCTTCATGTCACAACAAAATAAAGCAGGGATTAGAAGCAGCATTGCAGTCTCAGCCTTAATGCCTTTGTGACACCTCATTGCTATGCAAATGGGATTCAAGGAGGTCATCCCTTTAGCAGCTACTCCAGCCCCTGTATCTACTTGATATTCCTGGGCCAAACTTGCGGCTCACATTACTGAGCCCACTGTTAACTCTTTGTTGGCTGCTGAGCCGCTGGCCCGGCTCCTTCCAGGGCTGCCCCTGCTGCTCAGCCCCGGGGCCAGGCCCAGTGCCCCGGCCCAGGTTCCAGTGCTCCCGGGTGCGCCCAGAGCCAAGGTGACTTGGAGTTGCAGCTGCTGTCTCGGGTGGTTTATCACTGCAAAAGGCTGTTTTTATTTTATTTTTTTAAGATTTATTTATTTATACAAGCACTGGGTACAGTCAGAAGCGCGGGAGGGTGAGAGAATCCGCCAGAGCCAGAGCGGGTAGCAGAGCAGGCAGAAGGACCGAAGTCCACTGCTGAGGGGAGCAGCGGGCGGCAGGAGAGGTCTGCGCGCCATGCGGCCGGGGATCGAACCGGCGCTGCAGAGGCTGCGGGCAGCTTCGCAGCCCAGCACTCAACCGCTGCGCCACCAGGGAGGCCCAAAAGGCTGTTTTTAGATAGATATTTTATTTGCTTGCATTTGTAACATTTCTTGCAAATATTTTCTATAAAAACATGGGCCCGTGCAGTGAATATACACATCATACTTGTTTTCAACCTCGTTGTCTGCAGTTCCAGCTTGATGTCACCTGATGTACAGACGTGCTACGAATTGCTGACGCCGGAGGACCCCGACGCCAGGCACGGAGAACCAGGCGCCGTCGTGGAGTGCGACTGGCTGCGTTAAAGGGCTTTTTAAATTTGCTCGTCTGGTAAGTTTCTATTTTCGCGTGGCTGCAGAGCTGCGATCTGCTTCCCTTCTCTTCCCCGCTCTGAACGGGCCTCCGCAGCCTGAGCTGCCGGCCGTAGCTGAGCTGCCGGCTCCTTGCGAAGCTGCTCCCGTGCTCTTTCAGGGCAGGGGTTCTCCACAGCCCACAGACCCGGGGCTGTGCAGACGCCGAGATACTGGGAAGGCCTGTCCAAGAGAGCACAGCCCACCCCTGGCGTGGCTGGTCTGGGCGCGCAGGGGAGACCCAGAGTGACTGTGTGGGGGTGACCGGACACGCTTGTCAGACACGGCAGTCCCAGGGTGGGTCTGACTCTTCCCAGGGACTTGGCAGATGTCCCCGGAGCGAGATGTTGCACCAAGCGCACGCTTCTCAGGGACGCGCACGCTTCTCAGGGACACGCCTTTGGCCCTTTCTCTGCTCCCTGACCCGCGGTGTCTCCGCGGGGCGTCTGCTGGCCCGGGCCTTGCCCGGAGCACCCGCTGGGAGAGTGGGGCTGCGTCCCCGAGAGAGGCGCTTCTCCTGCCCCGCAAGACCCCGTCATAGAGCGCCACCGGCAGGGATGGTTGGAGCCTGTGAGACTGACCTCAAGGGAGCTTGGGGTGGGCCCCTGTGCGGTCAGTTTCCTGCCTGTCCTGCTCTTCCAGGCCAGTTTGTGGCGCCTGCCCCCCGGGACATCTTACATGGCCAGGGGGTGGCCACGCCCTGCTTCTGGGGACACTCTCACTCGCCATCCAAAAGCAAGCGCTCCTGCATTTTCCTCATGAGCCAGGGACGCCCGGCCATCCCGCGGGCCGTGCCTGCCCCATGAGCCGCTGGCTGGGCGCAAGGGCGGGAGGGACGGCGGCCACCTGTGCCCAGCAGCCCATCAGAAGTGGCCTCTCAGCCGCTCTTGTCAGTTATTGCCATCGACCGAGGACTGTCACACCTGCCTGCGCCGCTCTCTCTCTCTCTGTACTTCATTACATATTGATTGACTCCTTGGGTTTTACAAGTTCATAAATCACTTTCTTTTAAGAGGCTTCTTGGCTTTTGCGTGTGAGGACTGAGAGTTCTGGGGAAGATGGATGCTTGAGTCGCTGCACAAAGACCTTCTACCGCCCTCCCCCACCTCATAAACGGGAACGAAGCACCCCGGCCTGTGGGGCCGGCGCCCCCGGAAGCAGCTCCTCTCAACACCCAGGGCAGCCGCCTGGGCTGAGGGGAGCAGCTCCCCGGGAGACGGGTTGGACGGGAGGGGCCGGGACAGCCGTGTCCCCACTGGGGCGTGCCGTCCGGGGCGGGCGAATCCATGTCCGGCCTTGATGGGCCTTCCCGTGTCCTGCAGTGGCGACAGCAGGGCTGGCGCTCTGGGCCGCTCCCGCTTCAAGCTTTTCTGAATGTGGGAAATGCTGTTTTGTTAATATTTTTGAAAAAAAAAACTTCTTTGTGCCACAGATGAGCCTTAGATGTCCGCTGTTCACTGTTGCCGGCACCCGCTGAGGGGCGGCTTGGCAGGGACCGTTTCTGCTCCTAGCGCGGAGGTGCTTGGCGATGATGCAAAGCAGCTAGATGCATCTTAGATTCTTGCTTCACAGATGAGGTCTGAAGCGTTCATTTTTTCCCGTTTATGAATACAAGCTGGTTTATGAGCAGCGAAGGGCTTCTTTTCTATTTTCAGTCTCCGAGGTTTCCTTGCAGTCTGTGGGGCTTTCATGGAGGCGCCTGCGCTTCTGTGCAGCGTCAGCACCGCGTGTCCCCTCGGGTCACCAGGGGCGGCCCTTGCAGGGGCGGCCCAGTGGCAGCAGCAGAAGCCATGCTCCGGGCGGTTGTCGGAGCCGGTTTATCTGGAGACACTCAGTCATTCCTCCCTGAAGTAACTGAATTCTGACAGCCAGTTAACACACCCAAGGCGTGAGGAGGCAAAGCCGCAGTGGAGGCGTCTTGCTAGAGGAGCGGCTTCTGAAGGAAGAGTCAGTGGCCGCCTGTGAGGCCAAGAGGCCCAGCGCGAGCCCCGGACTGGCTGGCGCCTCCTGGAGGACGCGGCGGGCAGGTGCGGCGGGTGGTGCGGTGGGCTCCAGGCAGCGTCTGCAGCGTGCGGGTCTGGCCGCCCCGTGCAGGAGACAGCATGCGGGTGGGTGGCGCTGTCTGCCAGGACCGCCTGCTTCCTGAGGTGGCTTCAGGGGTTCAGACTCACAGAAATGCCCGTAAGCCAGAGAGCAGGGTTTCGGGGACACTGGGCCTCCCAGTCCAGCTGTGTGGGCGCCGACGGCCTAGGCCCCCGACCCTGGCAGGCACGGCCAACCATGCGCAGCTCATCCGGCCACAGCGTGATTCTCTTCTGCTGAGGTGACCCTGCCCTGTTGGCCTGCGGGGGGCGTGGGGCCTTCCCCTGCTGCTGCGCCCTTGTGTGCCCACCTCGGAGCCTCCCCCACACACCCGCCCCACGTCCATCATGCTCTCCCCCTGCCCTCACCCTGGCCCCGGTCTGCAGTCCCCTCAGGGCTGGCTCAAGTTCGTGGTGGTCTGACCCTGTCTCTGTCCCCACGCATGAGGCTTGCCGCGGCTGCTCGGCGCCCACTCACTGCGCGCGGCCCACTGCTCAGCCCAGCCCCGTCGCCGCAGCCCCACGCCTGCCCTGGCGCTCACGTGGGGCCCGCGATCGGCTGGGGCGGGGCGCGTTCTCCAGGGGGACACAGCGGAACTGCCGGCCTGTGGGGTCCACTCGCTGTTACTCTTTTGAGAAGCCAGTTTGTCTTGTTTCTCTAGGAACACCTAGAACATCGCATTGAGGCAGAGAAGCAGTTATTTAATTCTCAAACCCGTGGGGACTGATCGATGAAATGATTGAAGTAGAATTTCCTCATGATGATCTGATGTGGATTTTCCGCAGCCAGCATCTTTCCGTCCCAGCTTCCTTACCTCTCCCTGCTCTGATGTGCTCACGGAGCTCCCGTTCTGCGTTAATCAAGTAGAAATCCAATTTAAAAAAGACCAATCCACTGGGGAAGGCCCCTGAGCTTTAGTTCATCATTTTAAGTGATTTCCCTCCTGTTAAATAAATAAGAGACACGGTGTCTCCCTGCGGGGCGGGGCCGGCGCGGGCCTGTCCTCCGGGAGCTGTCCCGCAGGCAGAGCGCTGGCGGACGCGGTCCGAGCTGTTACCCACATCGACTCGGCTTCCCGGCCGCCCCCGTGGACGCCTCACACACACGTACCTCACAGGGCACGGCTCAGAGTGTGCCTGGGCTGCCCGGGGTTGCGTGTGAGTCAGCAATTCCCTCTCCATGGAAAATCAAGGCTCTGGGGCTGCGGAGGGTGTGGGGAGCCGCCAGGGTGTGGGTTCTGGACCGCGCGTGGGGCAGAGGTTGAGGGCAGCAAGGGAGAGAACACGCCCAGCGGCTGTGCCCGGGCCGCCTTGTCTGTGCCAGGGCCATGATCTGCCGCCCGCCGGGCCTGCGCTGGGGCCTCTCGCCACGGCCAGCAGTGCCCCAAACCAGGGTCCCCCGGACTCAGGCAGCACTGGGGACGCTTCCCAGGATCCCTGTGTCCACTGCATCCAAGAATTCCCTGGCCCCCCCTGTGCACCGGTCCCTGGGCCGTCACCCTGGGCTTCCCGCTGGCGGCCCATCCTGCCCACCTGCGTCTCTGCTCTCCAGCCCTCATCGGGACCCATGCCCAGGCCAGCCCCGAGGCGGCTCACCCTCCCGTGGCAGTGATGGAGACCTGCAGGCCTTCTCGAGCCTGCTGGGTTTCTCTGTCCTGTGAAGCCCAGCCTCCCTGCCTGTGCCCAGGGGCAGACCATCTTGTGGAGGGCACAAGACAGCCCCTTGAGGCCCCACGCCAGGACCTCCGCTTCCTCCATGAGGCCGAGGGCTCCCAGGGCCTGCACCTCCCGGTGTGCTTGGCGTGTCTCTTCCCTGCCTCCTGCGCCTCCTGCTCACCTCCTTGTGGCTGCTCTGTCCACAGACATGCAATGCGGCGGGCCCAGCTGGGAACGGAAGGGCCTCTCCGTGTCTGCGGCTCCCTGAGCCTCCCTTCACAGCAACCCTGCTGTCTTTTAGGGTGGAGGAAATCTGTTCCTGGGCAACACTGCAACCTCGATTCTGCTGGAGTTTTCCTTTTTTAAGTGACAAGTTTTAAGCCAGTGTTGCCCACGTCGGCTCTCCGGAGGTGTCCTGGCAGGTGGCCAGGCCAGGCGGGTTCACCAGGCGGGAAGCCCCGGGCGGGAGGGCTGGGAGGAGCTGGCACGCAGGCCCTGGCCCGGGACGCCCTTCTGGCAGGCGCGAAGGAGAGCCGTTCTCCTCGGTGAAACGCCCAGATCTCTTGGTTCTGACACTGCGTGAGGAGCTGGGGCGAGCCCGAGAGCCGGTACCAGTGTGGGCTCCTGGGAGCGCCTGGGGGCAGGAGGCGGGTTGGCATTTGGACACCCTCTCGGCAGCTGGCTGGTGTTGCGGAAAAGGAAATGAGCGATTAGCCGGGCACGCTCTCTGGGCGGGAGTCAGGGGCCCGGACGTGACAGGCGCGGCTGAGCAGACTCTGGCCAGGGAACAGCAGGTGCCCGTGGGCTGCGGTGGAGTCCGGGTCCCGGGACCAGGCACCCAGCCGTGGCCCTTCCCGGCCTGCAGCCACAGCCTCGCTTCACTCGCTTGGGTTAGTGTCCACTCCATGCCCGCACCATATCCCGGCCGCCTCCCTCCCGCCCCCAGTCCACAGCCCGTGGCTGTGTTTGCCCTTCCTGGTGGCCGAGCGGGCCATGGCATGGGTGGGCCCACAGACAGGCGATGGTGCGCAGAGAGAGATGAACCGAGTCTGACGGGCATCACGTCAGTCTTCTCTCAGCACCGGTGCCCGCTCCTCCTGGGCTCACCACCACGAAGCCCTTTATGAGCAGTGACACTTACCAAGGGCCTGCCCGGGGTCCCAGGAGCTGCGCGGAGACCATCGCGCCCTGCGGGTGGTGCCTGGTGAGTGGCCCCTGGCCCGGCGGACCAGAGGCCCGGGCC